AGGTGTGGTCCCACCAATTACTATCCCCAAGTTTTTTCATTTTGTATATAGAAATGTAATTGATTGTGTATATTTACCTTGTCTCCAGCTATATTCATTCATTCATTTGTTCTATAATCTAGTTTCTTTAGAATTTTACATACTTGTAATTATATAATGATGTGAAAATGAGTTTCATTTTTCCTTTTAAATCCTTTTATTTGCTATTTCTTTTTCTTGTCTGACTGGACCAGCAAGGACTTCCAGCCACTGTATTGACTAGAAATAATAATAGCAGACATTCTGGTCTTATTCTTTTTTTTATTATTTTATTATTATTATTATTTTTTATTGAATGGTAACTGTGTACATTAATGCTGGTCTTATTCTTGATCTCAAAGAGAAAGGTGTCATTTGATATTCCACAACTAAGTATGATTTCTGTAGGTTTTTATTATACACTTTTTTATCATATTGAGAAAGTTTTATAGAATAAGTTTGCTTGCCAAGAGATTTAATAATGAATAGATGTTGAATTTTATTAAGTGATGTTCCTGTACTGATTGAGATGGTCATATAATTTTCTCCACTATTCTGTTAGTGTGATCCATTATACCGATTTTTAATTCAAAACATAGCTTGCATTTCTGGAATAAACCTCGTTTGGTAATTCTTTATTATCCTTGTTAGATTTTGCTAAATGTTATTGGCTAATCTTTTGTGTAGAATTGTTACATCTGTATTATAAAAGTTATTTTTTATCTTTGTCATGATGTTTTTGTTGGTTTTTCCTTTTAAAGTACATATACTCTCCTCCAAAATTTAGTCACTGAGTGTTCCTACTTCTGTGTTCCCTTGAAGAGTATATATAAGAAAGACTGGTGTAATTGTTCTTAAATGTTTGATAGAATTTATTCCACCTGGCCTTGGACTATTTCTTTTTCAAGAGAAGGGATTTTTTATGGACTGTTCTATGAAAAGAATTAAAACCTTGAGATTCTTCCATTGTCTAAGGACTTCTGAGAGGTAGAACAAAGAAAGAGAGAGAAAAGTGATTTCTGACATCTTCCTAAAAGCACCTGTCCTGGTCCCCACCTGCTTAAATCCCACTGACACAGCAGGACTGCAGGGTGACTGGCATTATTTATTTTTTTAATTAAATCATAGCTGTGTACATTAATGCAGTCATGGGGTACAGTGTGCTAGTTTTATATACAGCACTGGCTCTCAGGCTGCAGGTTGTTCCCTCTCAGTGACAACCCAGTCTCAGGATTTCAGAGGAGAAGCCTCTGGTGTCAGGCAGAGGACACTGTGGGGGAGGGAAAGGAGGGGCTGCCCGAAGCAGACAGAGGCTCTTTGTTTGCTCTGCTTCTGTGTAAATTGGGCAACATTTGGAAAGAACAAATATTGGTTCAAAGGCCCACTGCCTTCCTGCCCACCTCCTTCTGGTCAGCTCCCCCAACTCCTCTGCACGTACGCACAAGTTCAGCTGTTTATAAGAGGGCCAACTCTGTGGTTGGAATTTAAGAGCTTTATTCTGTATGGTGGAGGATGTGGGGCATGCTTAGGTTGGCCTAGAGCTAGAAGCTTCCCTAACCTCCTTAGTCTTTCTTCATCTCTTTCTCATTTGCCTCCCTCCCTCTCCTCCTCTTGATACATAAAGAGAAGGTTAAGGTCAGAAAGGCAGGTGTGGTCTAGAGAAGGCGGAGATTTAGGAGATCTGAGTTCAGGTCCCAGAGCTCCAGGAACAAAGACCTATTATTTCATTGTATTGTCCACATGGGAAAAAAGAAGTACTGATCCTATCTTGTAGGATTGTTAAGATCATGAGATCTTGCCCCGGAACGGTGCCTGGCTCATGGAAGGGGCTAAAAACATGACATTTCTTCCAGCTGTGCATAATCAAGATAGCCCTTGTCTGAGGTTCTGCTGTCGGGCATCCAGACCTCTCCCTGACTGACCAGCCCCTCTGCAAGCAGAAGTCTGCAGTGGTGTGTCTCGGAGAAACAGCAGGGCTGGGTGTGCTGTGTCCGTCCCTCTCTGGTTGTGACCTCAGATGAGCCCGGTGGCCCTGTGTGTCCTGGTTTCCTGGGAGAGGCAGTGTCCTGGTGGATGGGTATACTCTGGAAGCAGATGTCTGATTTTGCATTCTGACTTTGCAGCTGACCTTGCACCAGATGTTATCCTCTCTGATCCTCAGCTTCCTGTTTCAACTGTAAGATAGAGACTCTATCTTACTCCATCTAAAACACAGTGAAGCTTTCAGTAAGTCTCAGCTATCATTATGCTGTAAAAAGGAACAATGGGTTTTGACAATGAGCCTCTCTGGTATAGAATTAAACAACTTAAGTGAGAGCGAGAGTACAAGTGTCATGGGCCACCAAGGACACAGAGCACTATAATGTTGTCCTCTACCTTCATGTACCGCTGTAGACATATACAGGTAAAGGCACCCATCCAATAGGCTTGCACACACAGGTACATCCCAAAGCTGGCCCTGCCCTGCCTACCTCTCCAAGGAATGGCAGACACAGAGTCCCTGGTGGATGGAACTCTTGCCCTCCTGAGCAAGAATCAAGGCCCTGGATGAGTAAACAATGTGGGAGCTCCTCTTCTCCATGTCCTCTCTGAGCTTTCCCAGAACCCGTCCTGGACTTGGACTCAAAGGATCCCACTGAGGACTAGGCATGGGGTTTTCTGCTCTGGAGAGGGCTCTGGCTGGCCAGAGGTTGCTCCTACTGAAGGGCTCTAGCTAGCCTGTGGGCCTGTGTCTGGAGGAGTGGCTCAGAAAGGATCACCTGTGAATGCAGAGGGCTCCAGGGAAGGAGGACCGTTGTCCATCTGCTTTCCATGCCCTGCATTGAGCTTCCCTGTGTCTGCGGCACTAGCTCAAAATTTGGTGCCTCCACTTCCTGCTTTCTGGCAGACCCTGAAGGCTCAGAGCAGGGCCTGCCTGGGGCATCATCTGAATGTGTGCCTGTTGCTCTGCTGGGTGCCCTCCCTCCAAGCCAGCCCCCTGATCTTCCCCCTCAACTCACACAGCCCTACCTCAAGGTCTCCAGATGCATCCAGACACCCTCACCCAAGCCCCCAGTGCCTACAGCCATGTGGCAGTGGAATATGCTCCTTCTGCCAAGAGTCTCAGTTCCCTACAGCTCAAGCACATGGAGCCCAGGGAGGTGGCAGGGTGGTGGACGGTAAAACAAGGCAGCAGTGGCCAGTCTTCCTCATGGTGAGGCAGGTGCTTGGAAGGCCAGGCTTGCCTTTATCTCCATTATAAACAGAAAGCCCCGCCAAAAAAAAATGGACTCTAAAGTGGGGATGTATATAAAAGCCGATCTATTGGGATGTGGGAGAACATTTCCAGTTATATTTATTGTTATGCAAAAGATTAACAAATTGTCATATATTCCTATTTACTATGTGAATTGGCCCTGTCCCCCACCTGGGTGTGCAGGCAGAAGGCAGCATGTCATGTGGAGCCTTTGAGGTATCCTGGGAGCATTTTACAGTGGCCTAGGTTAGGAAAGAGGGGTGCTGCATGGGTGGGGCACCATGACCCCCTTCTTTGTTTTGTCGTTTTTTGTTTCTATATCTTGTGATTTGCATGTGCCCAGTTAAATGGCTGTATGGATTAGATAATCTGACTTGAATTCTCCAACTCTTGCAAGATGCACAAGTGCCTAAAAAGATTCCTACAAAGGGGCGGCCCCTGTGGCTCAAAGGAGTAGGGCGCCAGCCCCATATGCCAGAGGTGGCAGGCTCAAACCCAGCCCCAGCCAAAAACTGCAAAAAAAAAAAAGGAGTGAAAATGTTTAAAAAAAATATTTCTACAAAGGATCTGGGATTAGAAGATAATTCTCACAGTACAAACACAAGTGAACACAAATAAAATAACCACATCAACTCATCTATTAGGCTTGTGGGTTCAAGCTCTTTGGCAGCTAAAACACGAAGCAGAATCTATGACTATCTCATCAGATTGGATAAGAAGAAACTTTTGGAAATCTCTTTTATTATCTTGATTAATTCTCTGAACTCTGGATCTACACTTTGCCTAAGAACCGGGACCTTTCTGTAAGTATATGTTGTGCCTCGAGATCGCATCATGCATCGTACTCACATATAGGGCAGCGTTAGCAGAAGGAGGTTTAACAATGAGTGCATTTCATCTCATCTCACATTTTATAAATTTCTGCTTCTTGTGCATGATTGAAATGCACACAATTTTTAGTTTAAAAACTCCACACACAGAAGGCACAAACTAGATATTTTTTGTAACAAGGATATACAAGCAAAACAGGTTTGGGGACTACTCAGCAAGAGGGAGGCAGGGGTGGTGCAGAGGCTGTAAGAACGGAACAGGCTACAACCTTTTCTGGTCTGTTTCTTTGTCTCTCAGTGTCTTGACCACATTCCTGAAAGCTTCTTGTGGAAGAGAGTTCATCTCTCCTGTGACTCTGTCTTAGCCCAAAGTGTCCCACAGGAAGCTCCAGGGCAGGAAATTTTCCAGCCCAGGAGCCTTGGCTCATGGGGCAGGGAAAGAGACCAGCTCCTCAGGGATGGCCTTTGACCTTGAACCCAGCTTGCTTCTCCTACATCCTCTCCCAGAAAGGGCTTTGCCTGTCCTTCTCCCCTCTGGTGTGGGATCTGGGGCAGTTCCCATCCCTGTTCTGGCCTCAGAGTCCCCATCCGTGGAAAGAGATAGGATGGGAGGCACAGACCAGCTCCCGCAGCCTGGAGTCAGGAGCAGAGCCACCCAGCTCCCAGCCCACTGTGGCCATGCTCCTGGCACAGAGCAGTAGCAATAACAAGGGGCAGATTGTACTTTATTTCTCTTTCCATCAGCATTTTTGTGCTGGACTCCTTCCATCCACAGATCTGCCAGGAAATGAGATGATCAGCGGGGCAAGAAAGAAAGGAGGTTGGGTGACAGGCGATTGGGTAACCGGGCTGCACAAACATAGGAGGTCAAAGATCGCGGCCTGGCTGGCTCTGCGGAGGATAAAAGGGTGTGGGGCGTGGGGAGGGGGCACAGAAGCAGGTCGGCCTGTGCTCGCTGCTCCGTGCCGCCGCAGACCGCAGACCGGGAGGATGAGGCTCGCTGTCAGTGCCCTGCTGGCCTGTGCTGTCCTGGGTGAGTGCAGAAGTGAGGAAGGATGGCCGAGTCACTGGCCTGGTGTCTCTGCTCCCTGGAGCCAGCCAGCCAGCCTCTGGCTAGCAGGGCTCTGTGCTCAGGCCCTCAGGCAGGAAGCCCGAATGCCTTTCCTCACCCCTTTCTGTCACACCCCTCTTAACTTTCATCTCTGTCTCAGAAACAGCCCTGCCCTGCAAGTGCCTGCTGGCCCCTGCGTGGGCCTCCTTTCTCTGCACTCACTGCCCCCTCTTCCTCTTTGTCCAGTAAATCTTGTAGCAATGGCATACGATACAGTAGAGCACTTCTAATCCCAGCTTATCAGAACCATGCGCTGCTACCTCTGCAATCAAGTCCAAACTCCTAGCCTGGCATTCAAGGACTCCCCATCCGACCCGCCGCTTCAGAGTCTCATGTCCCTTAGGTGCCCTCTAGGCTGTTGATGCCCCTGCTCAACAAGCAGAACTATGGGTGGTTCAGAGCATGGGCTTTGAAGCCAGACTTCTTGGGTCCAAATCCTGGCCCAACTCCTCACTAGTGAGAGGGTAATAACAGCATGTGCCTGGGATGGTGGGAGAGGAAGAGTGAGGTCATGGGTGCCAGGCCCCAGTGCAGGATGCTACACACCTCTGTGTGGGGCCTGTGACTGACGGCCCCCCTACCACCATCACCTCCTGAACCTGGGGCCCCCTTTGTACTCCAATGTTTGCCGGCCACTCATGGGGCATGTGCCACGCTGATCAAGCTTCCATGCTCAGTTATTTGTCTCTCTTGATAAACTGTTAAGTCTTTGGGCGAGGACTTGCCTTTGTCCCCTGTCAGGGCACCTCACGGGGCTATGCAAGGTGATGCTCAACTGAGAACAAATTCTTGTCTACGGGAACTCGGGAGGGGTGATTTTGGAGAGGGTCTGACTTGTGCTGCCTCCTGTGATTTCTCATGGGACAAGGTGGAATAGTTGAAGGGGATGAGGACAGTCAGTCCCCCGTGGTCCCTCCTCGTCCATCCTGGGGACCTGTGGGTATCCCCTAATGACTTGCATTTTGCGGATCTCAATGAGAGCCAGTGAGTGAGGCCTGCTGTGTTGGCCCACAGGGAGTGGAGATGACAGAGGGTGTGGGGATAGTACCAAAGCTCATGTGATAGAGAAGGTTCTCTGTACCAATAGGGATTTTAATAGCTACACACATGGCTGGCTTTGGCTTTCTCTCTAAATGGCAGCTAAAATGAGTGATGAAAATTGAAGGAGGGTTCATCAGAAACACAGGAAAGACCATTAAATATATGGAGTTTCTAGTTCAGAGGATGACTGACGATCGTCACAGGCAAATTAAATATCTTTTCATTCATTTCCTGCAACTAGTGGTCAAGGAGCTACAAAGTAACTCAGAACATTACCTTCTTCTGGGTAGCAGACTAAGAGTCTGGAGATCCACGTTCTAGGCCTGACCTGGCCACTAACAGGTGGGGTGACTTTGGGCAAACAAAACAAAACAAAGCATCATTCTCTGAGTCTGGCTTTCTCATTTCTGAAAGATGGTAATTTCTACCCTGCTGGCTTTCCAGAGTTGTGGTATTGAGCAAATGTGTTGAGGTGGCTGAAAATTCCCTGAGGCAGGCTGGGGTCCTGAGAGTGAGGGAAGGGGGCAAAGGAGATACAGAGGAGCTGACTGTCATTTCCAGTGGGAGCTGAAGGTCATGCCTGCATCTCTCTGGCCAGCGAAAAGTAGTCAGCAAGGAAGTAAAAGGCCATTCGGGCGACCTTCTCTTGGCCCAGCCTCAGACTGCAATGGAACTTGAACCTGTCCATGCCCCCTGAAGTGCTCAGATGTGGCTGCTAAGACCCTTCCAAGGGTAATGCTGTCTCTCCCCCAGCACAGGGAGTGGGTTCCTTATATCTCTGGCCTCTTTCCCACAGGGCTGTGTCTGGCTGTCCCTGAGAAAACTGTGAGATGGTGCGCCGTGTCAGATCATGAGGCCAGTAAGTGCCACGGTTTTCGTGATAACATGAAAAAAGTCCTTCCAGATGGTGTCCGAGTCTCATGTGTGAAGAAAGCCTCCCACCTTGATTGCATCAAGGCCATCGCGGTAAGTCACTACTGCCTGAAAGAGTGGAAGGAGTCTATACTTTCTCTTTCTCCAGTCATTTTGGCACCTTTCTTTGTTCATAGGTGGGAGGCTAAGGTATGGGGCAGTCAACTCAGACTGCCCTTAAAATCACGTAAAAAATGAAAATGTCATCTTTAATGTATCTGGAAAGCAAAAGCCAGTATACTCTGAAAATACCCAGTCTCTGCTCCTGCAATTTCATGGATCCAGGACAGGAAGGGAAATTATTGGGTAGTGAGTGAGAATGGAAACAGATGTCTTCCAGGTTTCCATCCTCCCTGAGAAAGAAGTCTCCACAAAGGCAGCTGAGGAAGACCGCGTAGGAAATTTCACAGTAAAGACGTCTCTGAATGAGGCCAGGGGCTAGGACTATAAATGGGCATAAGAGCATGGCCCAGAGGAGCTAAGCCCTGGAGTTGAGGTGGCCAGGGCAACTTTCCCCCACAAGGTCTGCCAGGTCAAGTCTTCGTAACTGCCTCGGAGAAAGCTGGATAGGACTTATGGCCAGGAATGAACACCTTACCAGTGGAAAAAGAAACAGAATCCATTCCTTTCTCTATGAAGGAAGAGTAGGAACATGGTAGCCCCAGCCCTTCTGAGGGAGATGGAGTCAAGTGAAGCCAGTGGTGGTGTGCGTGTCTGGCCGAGTTAAGGGTTCCTCCGGCTCTGGACCTGAGGAGCCTGGGTGGTCACTCCTGACTTGTCTAGGTTTAGGCGGGCCTTCCTCAGAAGCGAGGGCTTCATCGAGGTCTGGTGTGTTCTCTTTCAGGCAAATGAAGCGGACGCTGTAACACTGGATGCAGGCTGGGTGTATGAGGCAGGCCTGACTCCCAACAACCTGAAGCCTGTCGTGGCAGAAGTCTATGGATCAAAAGACAGTAAGTTCTCTCTGAGAACCCAGAAGGGAGTCTGTGGCCCTCTTCTCTCCAGTTAGACACTGAGTCTCATGTTTTCCAGGCAGGTATTGCATTGTAGATACTAATGAAATTCATCTCTGGGAGTGAGTGGGGAGCAAGGGCCCTGTCAGATATCACCAATGAATCTAGGCCTCTGTGGACTTGCAGCTGGTTGAGGGCTAGTGCTCCTGACACCGATCCCGTGGGCCAGGAATGTGCTCACTGGGAAAACAGAGAAGGCTGCATGCAGCTTGACCTGAAGGCCACTGTCATCTTGTGATGTGTCCAGAGTCCCTGGAGCCTTCTGGAACCAAGGTGCCTTGCACAAAGGAGAGACCTCTCTGGAGCACAGACTCAGACCCCAATAGCCCTGCACATCTGAGATCAGCCTGACTGTCCCTGGGCCTGTCTCAGGGGATGAGAAATACTTTGAGAAAGGTGGGGAATGTGGGCCTCTGTTGCCACAGCTCTGGCTTGGGTTGGTGGGTGCGAGCAGACACATTCAGGCCCAGGGTAGGCAAAGCACCCGGGACACACATGCCTGTGGCCTTCTTCTCCTGTGTTTACCTGGGGCATGGGGTTGTCACGAATGTACCATCTGTGGTCTTTTTTTCCCCTGCTAGCCTAGGAAGGCTTTTTTAACCACCCAACCCGATGTCAGTGTGACCCCTGAGTTCCCCTTCCCTTCTCAGGAGCCCAGTGGTGACGAGTAGCATTTCCCTGGGCCAGATTGAGGTCTTCCACTCATGCTGTTCCTTTGCAGATCCACTAACCTACTACTATGCTGTCGCGGTGGTCAAGAAGGGCAGTGGCTTCCAGTGGAATGAGCTCCGAGGCAAGAAGTCCTGCCACACAGGCCTGGGCAGGTCTGCGGGCTGGAACATCCCCATTGGCCTACTTTATTGTGACTTACCTGAGCCACGTCAGCCTCTTGAGAGAGGTAAGCCGGCAGGAGGGTGGACGTCCTTGCACAGATGCCCACGCAAGCCATGGTCATGTTCAGCTGACAGGTGTGGTGCACTCTGCCATGTCTCCTGCACTAACAGTCCTTGGGAGGTGGCAGTTGAGGCTTTTCTGTTCTGAGCTCCCAACACCCCAGGAGAGGCTATTCCACTGAATGGAGGAAAGGACGTGGGGCCTGACAGAGGGGCTCAGTCTGGACCATAGTGGCTGGGCCCTCTTATCCACTGTCTAAAGTTTTTTCCTGAAGGCTTCTCTGGTGGCTGGCTGCTGACTGTGAGGTTGGCCTGCACCTCTCGAGGCAGTTGTCATACCACCAGTGCGTGGCTCCCAGAAAGGACCTGTCTCTGAGCTGCTCTAGCCTCTGACAAGGCAGGGAGTGGGTGGGCTGACAAAGGACTGAGACAGACCTTGGTTGGTGGGAAGCACAGGCCTGTTCCTAGGATGGGTGTTGGGGCAGAGCTTAACATGTTCCTGTCTGGTTTGTGATGAGTTAGCACAAGTAAGGGCGAGCTGGGACTGTGTGTGCTGGTTCTGTGTTTGGTCCCTGCCTACTCCTGCTGAGTTTGGCTGGGAGATGTCACTGGCTGCGGCCAGCCTCACTCATGCCCTGGGGTCCATCTCTCTGTGTTGAGCAGCAGTGGCCAATTTCTTCTCGGGCAGCTGTGTTCCCTGTGCGGATGGGGACTCCTTCCCCCAGCTGTGTCAACTGTGCGCCGGCTGTGGCTGCTCCTCCCTTCAACCATACTTCGGCTACTCAGGAGCCTTCAAGTGAGTGAGACTGACTGTTGCTTCCTGGTGGCCAAAGTGGCAAATGTCCTTGGGGTAAGAATTCTTTGCCAGCTCAAAGCAGAGCCCTGCCTGCCTACAGGGGCATCCAGGAGGCCTGATGCCCTGGGGGGAGACAGGGGCATCAGGACAGGGCATAGCCTGAAAAGGTAGGCATGTTCTAATGTCCAGGCACTATTAAGAGGCCGACCCTCTGCCCTGATTCCACAGTGCGGTCTGCTGAATGTCCTGACCACTCTCCTGCCCCCTCGCTGTCCTTATCTAGGCAGTTCCTGTGGCTGTATTCTTGCCCTCTCTCTTCATACCTTCAGCATAGCCTAAAGTTTTATAGCCAGTCAAGGGTACATTTCCACCCCCCAGGAAACACCATACCATTATCTTCTATTCCAGAAGTTTAAAAGACTCTTTTCTACATAAAAATATCTTCAATTGCGTCTTGCTTTTGGGGGGTGAGATGAGGAACCTTCATCTTGTGTGAGCTCATTCCCTCCTGTTAGGGAACTGTGGATGTCACCGCCCCAGTGGGGACTGCACAGAGGCCTCCCTCAGTCTCTGTCCTTGTGCAAAGGCTAGACGGTGTAGTCAGACTCTCCAGGCCCAGGAGGAGGGCCTGTCATGCTGGAGCCCTCCTAATGTGTTTCTTTCACACAGGTGCCTGAAGGATGATGTTGGGGAGGTGGCCTTTGTCAAGCACTTGACCGTATTTGGTAAGTAATGGGAGAAGACTCCATCAGGGCCCCTTCCAGTAGGGGGCATTCTTTTTCCCTGCCCCATTTTCATGCTCAGTAGTCCGGCATGAGCATACTGTGTTTCTCCTTTATCATTGCTCGAGTTTCCACCTATGCAGAAGCAGGTACTTTGGGGTCCTCACCTGGACTCTTGGGCTGCTTTCCATCATTTAGCCTATATACATAGTGACTCTGCCTCTGGGGCAGTGTTGCCACAGCACAGGGCTGGGCACTGACCTTGGCCTGCTAGTTGTCCTGCTGAGATCAGACTCACGGTGGAATGGAGGCAGTCACTGCTGCACTGGACATCAGAAGCCTTTATCTGAAGTCATTTATCAGAAGTCATTTTCCTACCTGCTCTCTGGTCCTCAGTGATGAGGCCCCTTGGGTCACACTTTCTATGATCAGTGGGACTGCAGTGTAGGGGGCACCACAGCTCATGGCTCTTCCTGCACTGGGCTCACCTGGGCTTTTCCCGCAGAGAACCTGCCAAACAAGGCTGACAGGGACCAGTATGAGCTGCTCTGCCTGGATAACACCCGGAAGCCAGTGGATGATTTTGAGAACTGCCACTTGGCCAAGGTCCCTTCTCATGCTGTTGTGGCCCGAACTGTGGACGGCAAGGAGGACTTGATCTGGGAGCTTCTCAACCAGGCCCAGGTATCCCACCACCGTCTTCCCCTCCGCTAGTGCCCCCTGCTTGGATCTAGGGATTCTCTTCCTTGCTGTTTTACCACTCCACTCTAGAAAACCTTATGTGTCCTGGATACAGTGGAGCTGTACCACATGTGATCAACTTCTCTTGGAGCTGGGACTCCTCATAGAGAGCAGAGAGCCTCCTTGGGTGTTTCCATCTGTCCTTCTTACCCTTCTGGCTAGTGACATCTGAAAAGGCTCCTTTTTGCTCTATGCCATTCCTCTCTATCTCAACTAGGCCTTCAAGACCCAAGGGCAAATGTTCCTCCCCAGGAAAGCCTCCAATGGCCCCACAGAAGGAAACGATCTTTCCCCTTGTCACTGAGATTGTGAGGGGGCTTTACTTCCTGAAAGCTGTGGAATTTGGGCTAAGCTAGCTTCTTCTCATCCAGTCACCCCAACTGTCCCTTGAGGGTTTGAGGGGAAACAACCACACAGTGTGGCCTTTGGATCATATTTCTTGTTTTCAAGCCCATTCAATGAGGCAGCCAGGGGAGTGGGTACAGGGGAACTGGGTGTGGCTGGTCCTGCAAGGGTGACAAGCAGAGGAGGGGCTGGGTGAGGAGAGGCAGGTCCAGCTGTCCTCTCTCCTGGCATCTTGAAATTTTTCATAGTTTTCATTTTGTTTTCGGGGGCGGGGGGGGTTTCTCTTCAGTCCCATTTCTCAGCCTCCCTCCTTCCCTGTTGTCATTCACTATCCCATTTTACTATGAACAGGAACATTTTGGCAGAGACAAATCAGACGACTTCCAATTGTTCAGCTCTTCTCTGGGAAAGGACTTGCTATTTAAGGACTCTGCCCAGGGGTTTTTAAGGGTCCCCTCTAGGATGGACTTCAGGCTCTACCTGGGATATGAGTATGTCACTGCTCTTCGGAATCTACGGGAAGGCACATGTAAGTACTTGGGAAGGACCAGGTGACTACAGGAGCTTGGGGCAGGGACCAGCTATAAGTCTTCCCAGAGACCTGAATGCCTCTTCTGAATGCCCTGGGGCATTCAGAATGTTCCTTTGTCTGCCCTGCCTGTGAGCCCATATTAGACTGATGCTAAATGGCATTATCATTATGAGATGGCACAGACATCACCAAGGGCTTTAAAGGAGATTCACATTTAAAATGAGTTGGATTGGTACCAGCATTATTTCTCTGCATTAATCACCATATCACTTTGTGCAGCCAATTAGCCTAACACAAAGTAAGTGAAATAAAATAAAATTGCTACAGATTGCACATCTCCAGCCAGTGCTGAGGTCAACATGTGCCATAATGAAGCAGAGCTCTAGAGAAGTCAATCCCAGTGGTTTTGTTTGATGATTCATTTACTCAGTGGACAGTCATCGAACATCTGGCCATAAACTCTGCTAGGTGCAGGGCATACAAAGATGTACCAATATAAATTGGACGTTGCTGTCCTGGAACTTTCAAACCAGGGAGAAGACAAACGTTTAATGAATAGTCGCACTGTTGAATAATTAATTATAAAATGAGAGATTGCCTCAGAAGGGAAAAAAAATAACAAAATACCATGATCTTATGAGAGTACAAAACAAAGAAAAACAGGGCCCTGGACTGGGGCTTAAGGTAAAGCTTCCCTGAGATCTTGTGCTGAGTCTGAAAGATGAGCAGATGTCCATTATTCATCAGACTTCTTATTATATTGAGCAAGTACTGTACTAGCACTGCCCTAAACCCTGAGCGTGCCCTCCTGAACAAGAAGGCATGGCCTTTTCCCTGTTGGACCTTATTTTCTCCTGCAGGGAAACTGATAATAAACAATAAACATATAAGTAAGAACACATCAGGTGGTTAAGTGCTTTCTGAAAAAGAAGGAAAAAAAACAGCCAGAAGTCCCACAGTATCCAGAGGGTGAAGAGAAGACTTGACCTCTCAAAAGAAATAAAAAGGCTAAATATAAATGAGAAGCCAAGGAAGAGATTGTGTATTGACTTTGCTTTTTAAGGTGGTTGGTTTCTTGAATGGGGCCTGTTTATTGCTGGCCAATCCCAGTATTTGCATGAAGACAGTTGCGTTAATAAACACCAGATAACAGCTGGGGCCTCTTATGAATGCCAGACCGTTTTCTTTTCTTTTTAACTATTTTTTTTATTTCAAAATAAATAAATAAAAAGAAACAAATGTTTCTGATGCAGTCTGTAAGTCAGGGCTGCAAATGCATCCACCACCTGAATAGTGTTCATTGTACCCATTAGGTGGGTTTTTGTCCCTCCTCTGCTCCCCACTTCTCCTACTTGATTTCTTAGGACTTTCACTTCCCCCTGTGCACTTGTGTGCTCATCAGTTAGTTCCAGTTTGTTAGCGAGCACAGGTAGACAACAATGTACATGGGGGAAAAGAAGCCCTATTCAATGAATGGTGCTAGGAAAACTAGTTAGCAGCAGGCAGAAGAATGAAACGGGACCCCTCTCTGTCACCACTCGCAAAAATCAATTTGAGATAGAGATTTTTAAGTGCAAGGCATGAAACCATCAGAATCCTAGAGGAAAATGTAGGGGAAAATTCTTTTAGAGATCAGTCTAGGCAAAGAATTTGTAACTAAGACCCCAATGGTAATTATAGCAGCAATAAAAATAAATAAATCGGTTCTTTTTCTTATGCCATAGGCCCAGAAACCTCAACAAAAGAATGCAACACAGTGAAGTGGTGTGCACTGAGCCACCATGAGAGGCTCAAGTGTGATGAGTGGACTGTTCACAGTGGAGGGAAAATAGAGTGTGAATCAGCAGAGACAACGGAAGACTGCATCGCCAAGATCATGGTAAGTCACTCCAGCCTCCCCAGGCAGCATCCCTGCCACTGCTGTCTGTTGGCCCCTAACTCTAAGCCAGTGAGTGTCCTTGGGAACAAAGCAGAAAGCCTGGTTCCCAGAAACCTTGCTTTGTTGATGCAGGGTATTCTAGCTGGGCACAGTGGCACATGCTTGAAGTTGCAGCTACCAGGGAGGCTGAAAGGGGAGGATCACTTGAGCCCAGGAATTCAAGGACAGCCCGGGCAACGTAGCGAGACTTCATCTCTAAAATATTTTCTTTTTAAAGTGTATTCCATGTTGGCCTATAGAGAATTTTTGCTTTTAGTTATGGGTACATAATAGTATATATTTCAGTTTTTAACTTTTTAAAACTTGGATGTATAGAGGGAGCGCTAGGAAATATATAAATTGGTTGTTGTAGGGGGATTTTTCACTTATAGTATTTAAAAATACAAGGGTGTTGATGTGAAACTATATAAATTTCAAATGCTTATGAATTGAATCATTATTGAAAAGAAGACTCGTTGCTGTATAATTACTATTTTGTATGCCCTTGAGAGAAATAAATACAGCCATACTTATGTTTTAAAGAAAAAAAATGATAGTTTGATGTTGCTATCTGACCACAGCATGAATGTGCTATAATGGATTTAGTCATTTCTTTGTCACTTATTATAATTTGAGTCTCTCTTCTTGCTATTACAAATCACTTTTGTTATTTTGCCTTCCAACTTGTACATTGTGCCCAAATAGTTTCCTACCTGGTTATTCCTTTACAGTATTTTCCTGGAAAGTATATTCCCAGGCCAAAGGAAATCTTACAAATCTCATTGAATCTAAGCATCTCTGAAATAGGGGCTTATTAGCTCTGAGTATTAGATCATTTGAGAACATTTAAGTCATTCATTAAACACGTTGTATGCATCAAACATGGAAATAGCACTTAGCCAAGGAGGCTAAAATGAGGTGCTGGAGCCCCAGTCAGAAGGTGCTTGCAGAAACCCTTACAAGTCCCTAACTCTACTCATCTGTCCACAAGTGAGAATTCTTGGTATCAGAAAGGTATGTGTCTCTGGGACAGTGTGTCCTATGAGAGGATAGGAGGACTGAATATGAGCTTTTGCTCTTGTATAAACTTAGCAAAGCACCTAGAGTTGGTCATTAGTTCATGACAGTTGGGTGAAAAGTAGAGTACATTTTATTTTCTACGCTGGGTGTGCCTGACTGATCCTTTGCGGGTTTAGTACCAGCATCTTCTGTCTCCTTGGCATTCAGAACCCGTGTTGAGAAGGCTGCTTCAAATAAACAGCTGGAAAGGCAGATAGCATAGGAAATAGCCTCTTTTCATCTGCTGTGATTTTTTTGTATCTTTGCAGAATGGAGAAGCTGATGCCATGAGCTTGGATGGAGGGTATGTCTACATAGCAGGCAAGTGCGGTTTGATGCCTGTCATGGCAGAGAACTATGAGAACTACGGTAAGTGGAGGACAGCACTTCTCTGTTTTCTTCCCTCTGGGCCAGGGAGAGAAGAGATGGAAAAATTGCAGCCTTATTCCTACCACAGCTGCCATATAGCACTTCCTTAGGGAGCACCTCCTACTCCTTAGGCTCTGGGCTCCTTCATCTTGAATCCCCACAGTGACCTGGAAGGATGGGAGTTATGGAACCTTCCAGAAGTGGGGAATGGAAGCTCTACACTATGAAATCCCCCCCCCCAAATGACCCCACTACAGAGAACAGCTGGGATTTCTGGCAGGTCTTCTGACTTCCCTGCTGCCTTGATGTAGAAATTTAAATATAGTTGGCTGGCAAACCTCCTGAGGAGATAGACAGAGCAGGAAACTTGAAATTCACACTTTGTAGATAAATTCTAGGTGCCAGCAGCTGAAATGGACTTGCAGCATCCAGAGAGTCTGGACTTGTTGGGAATTGGTGACACGTGTAATAGTTTTATCTGGCTCTTTTATTCTTAGGGGAATTGGTGACATGTGTACACAGTTTTATCTGTCTCTCTTTTATTCTTAGCTGAAACATAAGAAAAGCATGATTCTCTAATCTAGAAGTAAGGGTTTAATGCCTTCTTCATTTTCTTTTCTCCAGAAAATAGTGGAAAATGTACGGAAAACCCAGAGGAAGGTGAGTTGGGATTGTGGGATTGGAACCTCTGCAGTTAAAATGTAAATTCCTGTTGTTTGGGGAACTGGTCACGTAAGTTTAAAATTCAAGTCACAAGTACGTAAGGCACTGGAAGAGAACAAATTTTAGAATGCAAAAGAACCATGGAAGGATGGCAATTGATAATGTTGGTTATGTTTTTATACTTGCCATGACTTGTGCATAGGATATCTCATTCAATCCTATAAGGTAGATTCTGTCATCCTCTAAAGATGCATGAGAGAATTCTAAGGTTCCAAAAGTTTACGGATTATCGAGGATCATATTTATGGGAAGCAAAACCAGGCCTTTCCCACTGCTCCCCACTACCTCCCATGACGTGAGACCTGCACGTTTTCAGATGAGAGTTAGCACCAGCCAAGGAACCTTGCTTATTTCTTCCTCATGGGGCTGAGTAGAAAGCCTCCTCACACAGGCAGATGTCTGGAAGCATGAAATTACCTGACTTCCCAGCCAGGGCTGGGCACAGAAACCCAGGCCAACCTGGCTCTCACCTAGGCCTCTGTCTGAGCATAGATCTGGAGAAAGAGAGAGCAGGAGGGGCAAGCCAGGAAATGCTACATTCAGCAACATCAGCACTGGGCCCCACAGCCCTTGTGGCCCCTGCAGGTCATATTCCAAACAGCCATTAGTGTATGAGTCTGTCCTTGTCACTTCCACTGATGACAACCTCCCAGCCTTTCCCCGTCACTTGAGGAGCCAAGTTCTTTAACAGATATGAAAAATGCCATTCTTATTCCATGGACAATAAGGATTCTGTTTCGTTTTGAAACAATATTCTGAATTAATTAAATTAGCAAATGAATCCAGGATTGATATTCTATTCCCTGTTTAAGGACCAGCATATATTTTTTGCTAAAACAGAAGCTGACTTAATTTTGACATTTACCACTTTGCATATTTATTTTGGTATAAATCTATATTCTCATCAGAAAATTTCTGGTCCAATGTTATTTCCTGTTGTTTATTGGTCTTCTACAACTCTATCCAAATATATGTAAATTTATAAAAGATAGGAATTATGTCAGCTTTTTCAGTATCCATTCCTCTGATAGAACACATCAGAGGGTGAATTGCTCTTTCTAACTTTGAGAACTACATGCATTCAGAGAAGGGCTGTACATCAGCCATTGCTCCAATGATAATGTCTTCCTAGTACAGTAGATCCTCTGTGCTAAGTTGACCACCCAAGGGACTATAACAAACCAGTCAACACATGGAGGTGGTCCACATAAGGAACTAAGCCTACTGTACTGGTTTGTTCATGTGGTGCATATCCAGGCTATAAAAATTAGGTCAACATAGGGAGGTGGTACCCATGGAGGTTGTACTGTATTTTGTTTTCAAATTTCATATTAATCTCCTCCTGACAGAATCACTCGTACTTCCCTTCAGTCAGTTAGGGGGAAGGTCCTCTCAAGATTCAACAATTAACTCCTGGTATCTTTGCTTCTCTAAGGAGACAGTGGCTTTAACTGGAAGGAGACACTCTGGAGTCACCAAAGGTGTTAAAATGTCATCTTCTGGTGTCTTTCTTGTAGGGTATTTTGCTGTGGCAGTGGTAAAGAAATCATCTGCTGACCTCACCTGGAACACTCTGAAAGGCAAAAAGTCCTGCCACACTGCCGTGGACAGAACCGCTGGCTGGAACATCCCCATGGGCCTGCTCTACAACGAGCTCAACCATTGCCGATTTGGTGAGTGAGGCCTGAGAGAGAGCAGTGGTGAGGGCCACACCAGAAAGAAGGGTCCTGCCTTGGGAGAGAGGGCTGTGGCATAAGAGCCTGTGTGCTAGGATTCTATAGAAGTAGAATTTGGTAAGTGAACCTCAAGGAAACCTCAAAAAGGTCTGGGAGGGCTGGAGCTGGGTTGCTGAGCCAGGATGTTTCATTTCATTTGCATGTAATGGGCCAAGTAAATATGCATTTATCTCTATTTCTCATGGAAAAGACCACAGGTGAGAAGTCCATGACTGGGATGGCCGTGAGAAACCCAGGCTCCTCCTCTCTTTTTATTCTCCTATCTTAGCATGAGGCTTCCATCTTTAAGGCCACCCCATGGTTACCATCACATCCACCTTCCGGGGAGCGACTAGAGCTAGTGGAAGTTTATGCCAGCTGCCGTTTGATTTTTAAAGGAGACTTTTAGGAAATCTGTTCAATTATTTTAGCTAACTTCTTACCACCCAGAACATAAGTACATCACCTCTTCGAACATTCCGGAAATATATTTGGGTATACATCCCTGCCAGGATGTTTTGTAAGCCCTATGAGAGTAGGTGGTCCCTGGGTCTCTTTAAAGTGTTGGTAATCTTACCGAGTCACTGTCAGCTCCTAGAAGCCTTTAAAGGAGTAGAAATCACTTTATTTTCTGTGTCCTCTATCATCAAGTATGCTCATATTTCTACCCCCTTAAACTTCTAAGTGTAAGATTCCTATAGATAAATGTTTTCCAGGGGTTCTGATTTATATTAGCATGCTGAGTACTTCCTTCCTGCCACCTCCAAATTTAGGGAGCTCCTTTTAAAAGAGAGGCTGCAAAATCTGGTTATGAAACCAGCAAACCCCATGTGTGGGAAGACTGGAGAACATGTGTCTGCACTAGGGTGCTGTGTGACACTAGTTGGCTAGTGCAGCTTCCAGAAAGCTTGGTAGCCCCACTGGCAAAGGGTGTCCTGTCCTGAGCTTCCTGGCACTTTCACAAGAGAGCAGCTGAGTTGCAAGGAAAACTTTCCATCCCTTTCCTGAGGTTGGGGATGTAGTAAAGGCTCTTCTAATGAATAACAGGGAAGGGACATCTGAAAACAGGTGGCACAGGCTCAGGAATTGAGGTTGTCAGTCTTCATCTCTTTTCTGTCCCCTTTCATGTCATTTCCATTTCTTCTTAGGTTAGTGATGACACCATCAGGGTGTTCAAAGGAAGCTTCTATTGTCACTGTTAATTGTCACCAACTCCTGTTCCCAAGCTCAATAAGTTTCTTGCAGCCAAGCACATCCTGAGTTGGTGGTGGTGAAATTCATTCATTTCACAGAATGAATATGTTCTACCTCTCCTGGGCCATGCAGCCCTGTTATGTTTTAGATAAAAGTCGCTTGTATTGACTCTGAAAGAGCTGACTTCCTCTTGTTCCTCTGTGCAGATGAATTTTTCAGTCAAGGCTGTGCCCCTGGGTCTCCGAAAAATTCCAGTCTTTGTGAGCTGTGTATGGGCCCGAACCCCAACGAGTGTAAGGCCAACAGCAAGGAGGGATACTATGGCTACACGGGAGCTTTCAGGTGAGTCTTTCACTCTGACACAAATATTATAATGCCTATCCCAGCCTGGAGCAGATGTCTTTTCTTTTTCTTTTCCTTTTTTGAGACAAAGTCTCTGTCACTCTGGCATCATAGCTCACAGCAACCTCAAACTCTTGGGCTCAAGTGATCCTCTTGCCTCAGCCTTCTGAGTAGCTGGGTCTACAGGCACCTGCTACAATGCCCTGCTAGTTTTTCTATTTTTTGTAGAGATGGGGTCTCACTCTTGTTCAGGTTGGTCTTGCACTCCTGAGCTCAGGCAAGCCACCTCCCTCGACCTCCCAGGGTGCTAGGATTATAGGCCTGAGCCACGGTGGCCAACCTGACCAGATTTCTTTTAGGAACCAAGGAAAATTGTATGTTCCTATTCTGTTAGTGCTGCATGCATTAAGGTGGGAGACTTCACAACCAAATGTAGAGCCATGTGAATGGAAGGGCAGCCAGGCTCCTCCAGGGCACTGTCTACCAGATGTGGCTATCACAGACAGCAGACTGGTGTGTGTGTCAGTTCAACAGATCTCCACTGGGGGTGATATGCCTCTCAGGGGACATTTGGCAATGTGTATAGATGTTTTTGCTTGTGAAAATATTGGTATGGAGGAGGAGGATGCCACCAGCATCTAAGGGGCAGAAGCAGCTAAATATGCCACAACGCAAAGGACGGCCCTGTACAAGAAAGAATGATCTAGCCCCAAATGTCACTGTGCCCTTCTACCACTGGATAAGCACTGAGTCAAGAGTTTGGTTCAAGCTCTTCCTGGTGCCTGGGCAACCTAGAACTACATTCATCTAAAAGTACGGAAAAGTGGAGCACACAATTTCTAAATTCCTAACTACAATTATACTTTATGGAGTGTCTGTCATTTTCTTAGAGACACCTGTGTACCTTACTACTTTTTAACTATCCTTTCTACCTTGGGCCTGAACTGCACAATGTTGCTGGAATTGTAATCAAACTTCCTAGGAGTGATGTGAAAAATGAAGGGTATCTCTATTTTCTAGTTAGAATCATCTTATGAGTTAGAGTAAACACAATTCATACTCCACAAATTTTTGATTTTACAAAATAGTCTGTATTGTTTTCATGGGGATTTAAGAGTTTGCATCTTTACTGTGTCTTTTCCTGGTGGTAATGTGTGTTTGAGAACTATAGATCAATAGAAAAGGCTTTGTTTTGTTTTGTTTCTTTTTTTTTTTTTTTTTGGAGACAGAGTCTTAAGCTGTTGCCGTGGGTAGAGTGATGTAGTGTCACAGCTCACAGCAACCTCCAACTTTTGGCTTAAGTGATTCTCTTGCCTCGGCCTCCCAAATAGCTGTGACTACGGGCGTGCATCACAACGGCCAGCTATTTTGTTGTTGCAGTTGTCATTGTTGTTTTAGTTAGCCCGGGCTAGGTTCAAACCCTCCAACCTTGGTGTATGTGGCTGGTGCCCTACCCAATGAGCTACGAGTGCTGCCCTCTTTGGGTTTTTTTTGTTGTTGTTGTTTGTTTTGTTTTGTTTTAGACAGAGTCTTACTATGTTGCCCTTAGTAGTGTGCTGTGCCATCACAGCTCATAGCAACCTCCAATTCTTGGGCTTAAGAGATTCTCTTGCCTCAGCCTCCCAAGTAGCTGAGAATACAGGTGCCTGCCACAATGCCTGGCTATTTTTTGTTGCAGTTGTCATTGTAGTTTAGTAAGCCCAGACTGGGTTCAAACCCGCCAGCCTTGGAGTATGTGGCTATTGCCATAACCACTGTGCTACAGGCACCTAGCCAGAAAAGGTTCTTTGCTTATATAAACATGAATAAGGGCTTTGTTCTCTAAATATGTCTTATAAAACTTATCTATGAAATAAAACATATCCAACTGACAGACTCCAAACTCAAAAGAAAATAAATGAAATCAACATATGAAGGTATGACCATTGAGTTCACAAGCTCATCCTAGTAAAAGTGCTCCATACCTCATTGCTGAGATCACTACAGTCACCTGTGAAGTCCTCCCCTGGAGAGCTATGCACTGATGCCATCACCTAGTCTGCCCTTCAAAGCATTTTGGCCCCTAAATGACAGATGCATCATCCTGACCTCCTCTCTTCTCTCTCCTCCTGTCTGGACTGCTGCAGGTGTCTAGTTGAGAAGGGAGATGTGGCCTTTGTGAAATCCCAGACTATTGAGCAGAACACTAATGGTACGTGCACTTGCTCCCCTGTTCCCTAAAGACTGGCTCATGGTATTCTCTTGTATTCAGGGACACCTTTAGGAAGTGTTATGGGCACTGTTAAAAATCTAAATCTGCTTAGTGAAAATTTTTCACCTGGATCAGCAGAATGATCAGGACCATGGGGCTCCCAGTGGCCCTGAGTCAGCTCACATATATACCCCCACAGCTGCAGACGACCTTGGGCCTCTTTCCCCCAATACTTCAGTGCCTGTTTCCCAAGGACAAAACATTTTCTTACATACCCGCAGTACAGTTAGCAAGATCAGGAAAGTTTACATTACATGGATTTAATACTCATCACATCTACCATTCACATTCAAATTTCAGTCATCCCAATAATGTCCTTTATTGGATATTTTCTACAGTGATAGCATGAGCCACCACACCCATCCACTGAGAGGGCCTGGGGGCAATGGCACAGGTCCAGGACTGAGCAACAAGATAATTGGCTTGTAAATACTATTTTCTGCTAAGAGGAACCAGGACTCCTTGGAAAAGTAGCTGATTCCAGGGTTAGGGCAGGAAAAATATATGGTGAGCCTAGAATATCACAATGAAATGCTCAGAAAGTGATGGGACATGTCAAGGCACCCAGGAGCCAGTGTGAATAACCTTACTGTGCCCAACCTAAGAATTCTGAATGTGAAGACAAATAATAAGAGCAATAAGCGCTGATAACCCATTGAAGAAAATCCGAATCCATGAGGCAATGCTGATGAGGCAAATGAAGAAGGGCAGTGCCTCCTCATCAGAGAATGTGAACTAACGAATGCAGGAGGAATGACAAAGTGAGAAAAGATCAGTATATCATTGATTGACATTACCAATATGTTGATAACTGATCCAGGCAAGAGTCATCATTGCCTGTTAACTTGTGGGTAAAAGTTAGACAGCCATGACATTAACAAAAACAAAACAAAAAAACCAAAGATGGGCGTGCGTGAGCACTCCTCGCCTGGCCCTTAGCATCACTGAGTGCCAGGGCAACCCACTGGAGTCCAGTCTGCTAATCACTCTCCTGCTTTCTGTCATGTTCACCCCCCAGCCTCCCTTCTCTCCTGGGCAACTCCTCCAGAACCAACTGCTCTAAGAAGCCTTCCCATCTAGCACACCCCACCCTGTTAGAATCCTCTGCCCAAATTGCTATTACTGGTGGACTTATTACATTCTGTAACACACTTTGGCTACAGAAGCCCTTTGAACTCTTTTTCTTCCTTTTCTATTGCCGGCATCTAGCGTAGCACATGGCACACAGCAGTTGTTAAGAATTTATTTAAGGAATGTTGGGTTGGCTAAGTTTTCTTTCTTCCTGGGTATTATTATTTTTTTTCCTTTAAGAGCTCTCCCTCCTGCTGTCACCCTAAGCTTATTTCTTTGTTGACCTTGATTTCCCTTTATACTCTTCTGAGTAGTGTTCCCATTCCTAGGCCTTGTATCTCCACTCTACTGACTCCAAATTCTGACCTCTGAAAAGAGTTTAGATAAGAGGTCTGACCTCCTATTTAAATTTCATTCTAGTGCTTCTATTACCCAACGTGTCACTTTTATGTATAAAGTACATTGGCATTGCAAACTCAATTTATATAAATCCAAATTCCTTATCTTTCTGTCAAAATTCTCTCTTCTCCCAATCTTTATCCCTGTAGAGAATCCTGTTATACTTCCTGCCAGTCAGACCTAGAGTAAGTTTGTCAATGTCTTATTTTACTTTTAAGTGCTATAGCACATTATGGTATAGAAAAAGTAAGATCAAAAGCATGTGGGCTCTTTGATCTCGATTATGCATATATCACATGTATATTGTATGTGTGTACTAAAAAGAATGGAAGAAATATATGTATATTTTTAAGATGGAGTCTTGCCCTGTCACCCCAAGTAGAGTACAGTGGCATCATCATAGCTCACTGCAATCTCAAATAATCAAGGGATCTTTCTGCCTCAGCCTCCCAGAATGCTAAGATTATAGGCATGAGCCACTGTGTCAGGCCAGAAATATACCAATTTTTAAGGTGTAGTCTGTGGAATTATAAATATTTCAAGTTTTTTACCCTGATACCATGTAGCATTTTATAAATTTCTATCAATAAACACACATTACTTTTATTGGAAAAAACATTTTTAGCATACCCTTCTAGATGCCCACTGCTGTCCTCCTAGCCCAGACTGAATCAACTCCCATCTAAATTTTCTTAATTTTCTACCTTCAGTCCCTGGCTCATTATTAACATTGATTTCCATCCATAAGTCCATCCAGATTTTTCTTTCTGCCCAACTGCCTGACTTGCTGTCCCCTTCAAGGTCTTTTGGGCCCAGTACTCTCATATATTTGGCTCTACTGCCAGAGACTATTCCCGGAGCCAGCCTCCTCCCCCCATTAGAAACATCAGGCATGTACGTGTCCCTGAGTCTTGCCTGCACCCTTCCTGCCTCACACAGAGAAGCAGGCATCCTGTGCGTATTATAATAAACAACTAAAACCTTGCCTCCTCCAGCCACCTTCCCTACTTAATCTGCTCTCAAAACCCTGGCTGTGAGTTTACACAGCATTTAGAGTGTGTTTCACAAAATATAAAATGTTATTACCCCTTCCCTGAATTTTTACTTTTGCTGTATGTGTGGTTTTCCCTCTAATAAGATTATACTTTGCAGAGGGCAGAGAATATGGTATCATTCAATAGATGCTTAAATTACTAAATAGACTGGAAGAGGTTTGGAAGGAAGGATGATGAAGTCCATTTGGAAGGTATAAGTTTGGGAAACACAAGTAAAAAGTGGATGAAGAAATGTTAGAAGGTAATCAAAGATGTATGTCACTTGGTGGGGGAGGGGCACACAATTTTTTTTAAATTTACTTTTATTTTTTTGTCCCTACAGTTTTGGCAGGGGCCTGGCTTGAACCTGCCACCCCTGTGGCATATGGGGCCAGCGCCCTACTCCTTGAGCCACAGGCACCACCCTATTTTTTATTCTATTTTGAGACAGAGTCTCACTACGTCGCCCTGGGTAGAGTGCTGTGGTGTCACAGCTCACAGCAACCTCCAACTCTTGGGCTTAAGTGATTCTCTTGCCTCAGCCTCCCGAGTAGCTGGGACTATAGGTGCCCACCACAATGCATGGCTATTTTTTTGTTGCAGTTGCCACTGCTGTTTTAGCTGGCTGGGGCTGGGTTCGAACCCACCACCCTCGGTATATCCGGTCGGTGCCTTACCCACTGAGCCACAGGCACCACCCAAGGGGGCAAGCAATTTAGCTCTTGCTATTAAAATAAAAATACACATACCCTTTGAACTAGCTATGTTCTACTTCTAGTAAAGCATTGTCATATGCAGTAATACTTACTCTAACTCCACTGTTGTGGCCAAAAGTTGTAAACACACTAATGGAGGAGTGGTTTAAAAAATACTGTTGTAGCCATACTGTGGAATATGATACAGTAGCTAAAAAGGCCATCTTGATTTACACATACTGACAAGAAGAATCTACCAGTAGTTGAAAAAAGCTACAGAGTTTTACATCTGTCAAGAACCAACACTAAACAAAACCGTGAACATGCAGCACCAGAACAGACACATATGTAGGTGAACGCAGGTAACAAAGTCTGGATGGGAACATGCAAGTGTCATGTCCAGGATTAGTACTACAGAACTGGCTGAGATGTGGGATGTGTAGGAAAGGAAACCTTTTAGTTCACACGTAGACACATTCAAAAATTTATGAGTATGGTCTCATATGTTGTTCAATTAAAGAAAGAAAATTAAATGAAAAATGGATGATAAAAAAGGTTGCAGTCCTGCATTATGGGAGGGAAACAAAAGTTGGTAATAGGAATAGGAGGAAAGAGCTGAAACCCTGAGAATGGGCAAGAAAACAGAAAAGACAAGATGAGGGGCTGAGACAGGATATGGACCTGTTCCACACCACATTTTCACTTAGAGTTGGTATCAGAGAGTCAGATTTAAAATACTGATGCAGATTTCCAAAAGTGTCCTCTGGGGAAAAGTTCTTTTGTTTGGAGATGCCTTATGGACTTATAATACAAGTTGATAAGCCTTAGAGCATCACATTCTTCCTATGCTAAAGCAAGCAGTACAGAGGCCTTGGAATTGAATCAAAATGAAGATCTTTTTGAACATCCAGAGAATGTAGTTCACTCTCACCTAGCTGGTGGGGAAGATTAGGGGGTAGTGGTCATTTGTAATTCCTGGTGTGAGGTGAGTGTTAACCTTGAAGAGTG